GGGGGGGAGATTTACGTTTGATAAGTGCACGTTCTCATTATGTAGTGCTATCTATTTTCAGGTGAAATATTCCACTAAATTGAAGACAACAGCCTGCATTTATGGGATACAAATACTAGTAAGTAAATACTCTTGGCTTGTCCAGTTGTTGTTTACTTTTCCTTTAAAGCGAGATATTTAAGACTTTGTGACAGCTTATATATCAAAAACATATCTATTGTCGCTTTCTTTTGTGTGTGTGTGTGATTTTTCTTAGGGCAGCGTTATGTGAAGGGTCACTTTGTGTGAACTACACGCTTGTTTCCCTCTACTGCCCATATGTTTATGCATTTGAAATATTTTATTAGTACTGTTTTAGAGCTTATTAAAGAGGTCAATTGGGTAATTAAAGGCTGATTGAGAGGTGTTCTCGTACTCTGTGATTTTCGAAATATCCAGTTATGACCGTGGCGCTCTGTTGTCTCAGTTAGTATCATGCTGCACTTTGAGTGGATGGCCCTGGTTCGAATCCAAGGCTAGGCGTTCTTGCACTATAAGGGTCGTGTTGTGGAGTTTTCGAGCTCACAACACATTTGCCTTAGTCCCATCGGAGATGGGCGTTAAATTCAAGGTCCTGCTTTCGAAATAACCTATGTGTTGACTGGAGAGTTAAAACCCATACACTTACATATATACATGTAGTTTATGACCAATGAGAATGTTCCCTGTAGACTCGGCAAGTCAGCGCGATATCAGAAAAGGATGACACGTACTCTATCGCAGAATTACAAAGTTCTATCTGACTTTTTAAAAATACTGTTTTGAGTTACTAATACAACGCGGTCAGAAACCGATTTGTGTCAGCCGGCTCTATCAAAAGCATAAGATTCTTCAAAGTAGTTATCAAGTTATTCATAGAATTGCATTCGAAAAAGCTTGACATGCTGTGAAACTCAATTTTTTTTTACGTCAAATGTCTCATAACTAAATACTGAGCTGATAGACCTTTGTAATGTTAAGGTAGCGAGTTATTTGCGCAATGACTGACACTGGTTTGACCTCTCCAGTTTACACCTGCAGTAAGTCCTGTCTCGATGCTTCTTTCTCTCTATGTTGTATGTTTTGTCAATCGCAGAATGCAAGTACGTAAGGAATTTTTTCGGTAACCATTCATCATCACCACCTTCCCAGTATTGTGATGGTTATTATCGCTATTAATAGATCGGAATGTGACCATTGTCAGGAAAACGAGACAAATCTAGCTCTGCTGTATGCTTCACGGGAAGCTGAGAATGTTTCGGAGTGTTCTATGGTCTGCTGGGGTAATACTATAGTGTAAAGCGCATAGAGCCTGCTGTTGAGCAGGGATATGCGCTATACAAATGCTATCTAGATCTATTATGTTTATTATTATTATGGTTTGCCGAAACAATGTTTGAATTGTTGTTATAATTTGGTGTTCTTATTCGCTGAAAGTCATTGCTAATCAATTATGTTTCATGTTTTTGTTTTAGTAAGCGTTTGCGACACTTGTAACACTATCAGGGCATATAAGCGCCAAACAAGTGGCGCAGGAGAGTAACAAACACAAAATGGAGGGGAGCCGAAGAGGACAATAGTTTTGATTGGAGAGAACGAGCAAACCATACCAGAGCACCCCCCAACCCACCCTCGAATCGTTATTTTAATTGTATAATAACCGATATCATGCTACTACTTCGAAAGATCCTTTTAAGGTATAGATGATGTCTTCAAGCACCAAACGTAGGTTCGAACTTGTACGAAGTGCGTCTTTCAAAAACCACGAGAGGTGAGGAGGTGGGTGGGCTCTGTTTTGGTTTTCAGATTAAAAGATGACAGGTCTGGGGTCATTTCTGAAAGGTGACACGACATAAAGTGCACAACGTTTGCTGCTATTGGCGTGCCGTAGGAGGGACAAGATGACAGATCGGGGACATTCATCTCAAAGTGTATGTGTGTATATATTATTTGCTGCCAGCGATGTCAACGCGTGAACCCGATCTTTCTTCTTTCTTACATTAGGTGAGGACCAGGTACAGGATTTTTTTTTACACGAACTTTAGGCAAGAGGAATGGAGGGGGTGGAAGATGGTGTGTGTGTGTGTGGTGGAGGGGGGGGGGGAGAAACCAGAATAAAGTTGCAAGAAAAAAGAATGTTGATGTAATAGTAGAAAACAGAGATGACAGTGAGTAAGGGATGAGATAGAAGGGAGCGGAGGTAGGGGCGGGAGGAGGGGGGAGGAGCAAGAAGAAACAAGAATAAACTAGCAAGATAACAAATTAATGTTTATGTATTCGTAGAAAACAGAAGTGTATTGAAGGGGGAAAGGGGGACGATCATTGTTGGAGGTGCTGGTGACGGTAATGCTGCTGTTGTTGCTGTTGTTGTTGTTGTCGATGTTGTTGTTGTTGTTGTTGTTGTTGATGATGATGATGAAGATGCTCTTGCTGTTGTTGTTGTTGTTGTTGTTTTTGATGCTTTTGTTTTTGTTGTGTTGTTG